AAATTTTAATAAAAAAAAATAAAAGAATATCCCATCTGCTAGTCTATCCCAGAATTTCACAATATATGTATATAAAATAATTATGTTGTACACTTTAAACTTACACAGGGTTATATGTCAATTATATCTCAATAAAGCTCAAAAAATTAAAATTAAAAAAGAAGGGATCATTTTCAGTAGTCAGAATACTGAGGTTTATGGCAAAAACTGTAGTCTTCCCTATAATTATGATTCATTTCTGCGCATTTTTCTTTTTTCCTGAATTTTGCACCACTTGGCTTTTTAGATGCCATAGTTGTACAGAAAATTTTTAGTATAAATTTAAAATATATTTATTCTCATTAATTCAATATTTAGAGTAAATATGCATACTATGTGCTTGATTTATATTAATTATTCATATAAATTATAACATTTAACAATAAAATAGGTGTGCATAACAATATGTATCAAAAATGCAAAAATCAATCATAACAAACAGCAGAAAATTGTGCACCAGATTCCCAGACAAACCTGGTGAAAAACAAGTAGTGCAAATAATTTTTTTAATAAAAGAATTTAATAATGATGAACTACTTATCAGTGGTTTAATTGAGTAAAGTATAAATGTGTCCTGGTTAATTTTTCCTGGTAAAAAATTGTTCTGAATATGTTTGATATTTGATGAGGTTTCATTTTTTAAAAGTCAAATATATTAATAAATGAAATTTGTATTACTTAAGTGCTCTTAATATTTAAAAATTCACACAAACATGTACTGTAATAAAAACAAAACTTTCCCTTTTACCTTGCAATACCATAGATTGCAACTATAAACAATGGAAAAAACCTGTCGACTTCCCTCAGGATGGAACAATGACCTTCAAAAGAAATTGCAAGTGAGAGATTTTTTATGTCATTGAGCCTGCCTGCTCCCCTCCACCCCGCACAACTTACATGATCCTTGGAAGGAATAGTCAAAGTGCAGGGTAGAATGCTGTTGTGATGTAACATTTAGATATTTTGGGCATCATGGATTGCTTTGCATTATTTTGCAATATTGATTAAAATATTGTTAAACCCGATCACAGAGTTTTTTGGCATACCTTTAAATTTTGCACCCAAGGAAAGCACCCCACTTGCCTTATCCTAATTCCAGCTCTGGTTAGGTCCTTTTTTTTCTGGTCTCAAAATCCTTGCCTTTAATGGGAGCTCTTAGCTCCTTTATATTTCATGGAAATATTGATATGGAAGATCAAGCTCTATCACATTGTTATGTTTTCTTTGTTTCTTCTGATTTTCAATCTTCTGTTCTTCCTTTCTCACCTTATTTTGAATTAACCAAATACATTTTAATATTCAATTGTTATTCTTCTATTGGCTTTTCAGCTGTACCTATTTTCATTATTTTCTTTACAGGTTGCCCTGGCGGTTACAAAATTCATACTTGATTTCACAAATTAAACTTAATATTGTACCATTTCATATGGGATGGAAAACATTTGCAGCAGTAGTTTCATTTCCCAAATCCTGTCCTTTGTGTTGTTACATACATTCTAAATCCCATAATTCCCCTTAATCTTTTTGAGGCATGTTTTTAGGATATTTTAGAGAGAATCTCTAGCCACTCCAGGCCTGAGGTGGCTGTACTCTTAAGGTGGGGCCTTTCTGGTGTGTCTATTTCTCATTGGAGTACTGGGTGAGGGCCTTCCACTCAAGCTGGTCAAAACACCAATGTCAGATCTGTGCAAGAATCCATTCAGCTGATGGAAACCCAGGGCTGGTCTTTGCTTGGCCTCACAGTGTCTTGCTCTAAGCCTGCACAGACTAGTATTTAGCTAAAGACCTAAAATACCTGTGGTGATTTCTAGATACACACCCCCATCTCTACAGTTTCTTTTTTTGAGGCACTCAATCCTGAAATCTGATCAACAACCCTACCCCTTTCCCCAGCTCAGCTATATCCTAATCTCTGCCTAGGCTCCACTTTCCTACTAGGGGGTCCTGAAAGTGACACAGGCAGAAAAAAGGTTACTGCCTGCTTCCCTTCTCTCTCCCCAACACACCATCCAGGGGAGCATAAGAGGTCTGGGAGCCTTGATAAACACATCTGCAGAATGATACTAGTTTTGGTCTCATGGCCTCCCCCTCTAAAAAAGCTGGATTTGACAGATGGAGACAAAAACAACTTTGTTTACTTAAATACCCAACCTGTTTGTTCTTGTCCTTTGTGAGCTTAACACTTCTGAAGAATATTGGTTGAGTATTTTGTAGGATGTCCCGCAATTAGGGTTTCTCTGATACTTTGTCATGATTTCACTGAGATTATGGGGTTTGGAGGAAGAATACTATGAAAGTGAAATGTCCTCATTGCATCACATCATAGGGGACACCACAGCCATGCCTTATTACTGGTGACGTCAACATTCATCTCTGGGTTAAGGTTGTCTTCCAGATTTCTACACTGCAAAATTACTATTGCACTTTTCATACTCTTGTCATTAGAAGCAAGTCACTGAATCCAGCTTATATTCAAGAGAAGGGGAATTACTGGTAAACCCAACTCTTAGGGGGAAGAGAATCAAATACAGTTTTGGGGTTTTTTTTGCACTTTGTTGGTCCTTTTCTTTTTTTTTTCAAATTGAAGGCAAGACCCTCCACCAACAAAGATTAAGATTCACTTTATTGCAGTGGTCTGGAACCAACTCTGTAATATCTCTAAGTTATGCCTATATTTAATAAATATTTTGGAGGCACTACTTTAAGGGTGTGTTCGCCTTAAAGTTTTGCCCACTAATTTTAGCACTTATTGGATCAGATCTGTGGAAGTTATTACTGTCATATTCTAATGGTAATTTTCTATTTCCCTCATTCCTCCTATATTTATTACTTGAAATTCTTACATAAGGGAGTTAACCCAACTCTAGCATTTATTTATTCAATCATATCACTTATTTATACATCATGGAATCATGGACATTTATTGTTTGGACTATAATGCAGTACTATCATTTTTTTGGTTGCTCAAGTTGTCCCAGCTTTGGCCATCAGGAGCTTTCAGGTTGGCTCCTGTATCCTCATGACATGCTTCCATCTTTTGTTTTTGGTACTTACTTTCTGGCACTAAACAATGCTCCAGGCTCAACTTGAATTTCCTTAACCTGGCCTTAAAATCAGCCACTTCTCCAAGGAGCCTTGGTTCCTTTTATTAGAGAATAGCATTTAGAAACCAAGATATGGGTACTAGGTGTATTCATTGTTTCTGGAATCACAATGTTTAGGTCTCCTCAGTGGACAGCCTGAGAAACTGTCAGAGACCAAGAAGATATAACAGCTAAATGCAATGTGGAATCTGTGGTAAGGTACTTCCAAGATAGTCTCTCAATGTGCCCTGCCTAATATGCACAGTCTTTTGTAGTTTCCCTTCCCTTCAGTTACTTGATTCTAACCAAAAGAATGCTTGGACATTCAGGGTAAGGCACTTCCATGATTGGATTACAAGAGATTGTAGCTTCTATTTTGCCAACTTTCTTGCTGGCTTTGATGAAGTAAGTTACCACGCTGTAAACTGCCTCATGGAAGGAAAGGTACAAGTGGCAAGGACTGAAGAACCTCAGACTGACAGCCAGGAAGGAACTGAGGCCCTACAATTCAACAGGCTGCAGATTAACTGAATCTTGCCCAAAACCATGGGAGCTAAGAGCAGATCCTTCCCCAGTTCCATTTTGAGATGAGTCCTTAATCCTGCTCATCTTCCTTGATTGCACCCTGGTCAGAGCCTCTGGAGTAAAGGACCCAGCTAAGCCAGCCTTGATTCCTGACCCATGAAAACTGGGAGATAATGAACACATTTTTTTAGCCACTAAGATTGTGGTAATTTATTACACAGAAATAGATGACAAACAGAGTATCCTTACTCAAATCCTAGAACAGAAAAAAAAATATTCGTGGAAAAACCAGTGAAATCCAAAGTCTTAAATTGACTTTCTGTACTATGGCAATGTATGGTTATGTAAGATGTTAACATTAGGGGTAGCTGGGTGATGGGGTATGGAAACTTCCTCTAATGTCCTTACAACTCTTCTGTAAACCTAAAATTATTTCAGAATAGAAACTTCAATAATACTTCTGGGTATTTCACGTTTTTATAAAGTAAAGAGAATATAGCAAGTTTGAGGAGAAAAAAATGAAGGTATTACAGAATCACCAGTCTGGTGGTAGATTAACCAGGCTTTAGGAGTCACAGTGTGATGATAAACTAGAAAGTAGTCTGCTCAGTCTTCTGGGGAAGACAAAGAACCAGACCGGATCCCAGTGCTCAGGGGTGGTGTGCTGGAGGGTACACCAGACCAAGCCTGATGCCTGTCTTGGGAGTCAAGTCAGTCTGGTTGAGAAATTCCAGGAATATTTATTCCCTGCCTTAAGATACTTTTGTCTCTTCACCTCTAAAATTCCCCCCAAATGTCAACATCTGCTCCAGAATGGAACTGCTTGCCTGTTCCTGACCTTTATAGTTTGTCTTTGCCTCTTATCTAACCTGGAATGCCTCTACTGCCAGCCAGTAGATATCTTCACACTTCCTTAGCAGTTTCAAAAGTGAACTTGCAAGAAAAATCTTTGTCCCCTCTGCCCTCAGTGACATTACTCAAACCAGAGCCCTCACTCACCTAACTTCACCATTTAACTCTTCTTCTATTTACCAGCGGTATATCTTTATATACTTAAATTCTATTCCTTGGTTTCTTTAAACATGAATGGAAATAATTATCAGCACTTTAAGAATACTCCTTAGAATCAATCAGGTGAAGCACCTAACAGGAAGGTGCCTGACAGGCTGTTATGGATTGACTGCTTTCGTGTGCGGGTTGTTTTCCTCCAGCCCTGATTCCTAAATTCTTTCATCCATCCCTCTTAAATCTATTTCTTCTGAGAATCTTCCTTCCTCCTGGCCTGCATGAGCCCTGCTCACTGCACAGTCAAAGCAAGGACAGGAGACTCTTTGCCAAAGATAAAAGCGCATGAAACACGCCTAGCATTTATTTAATCACAAACCTACAGACCCCTCAGTACACCCTTCTTGGGGCGTTAGCCCTAACAATCCAAAGGTGACAACCTTGTGTATACGTGGTAGGAGGGGTAAGGAGTTGTCTGTTGATAACTCTGAAATGGGAACGATTCCTTCAAATGGAGAGCTGGGTGAAGGCCAGAGGTTGGGGGTTACCAACTTCTGAATAGGGGAGTCAGTAAAAAATCAAGATAAACAAAAGAGGAATACATGATTTTACAACCTTTCCTCTAAGCCTCTGCCTTGGTGGGACAGGCTTTTACTTTTTTCCCAGGCTGGGAAAATCCCCAGAAGTGTCCCTTCCTTCACTGTGTTCCTCTACATGTTGAAACAAAGTAACAGGTGCTGGTTCTGGGAACCTGGACTCAATATCCCCTACTACCCATCACCTCCTCAAATGATCCTTCAAGGAAGGAGGAAGGAGGCATCTCTGCCCAAGGGTAGGGGCCTAACTCACTCCTGATCTAGGTCTGGAATGTCAACCTACAAGATTTCAGGATCTGCCCCCCTTCCCCAAAGGCAAGGTCAGCTCAAAGCCTTGTTCCTAGGTTAAATAACGAGGTTCTCTCTCAGGTTAAGGAAAGGATCCTAAGTACTACTCCTCCCTGCAGTGGAATGCTTGGATAGGATGTTGCTGAAGAATAAGGATTGTGATCTCCACATGGTGGCCTAATCTTATACACTCTTCCATACCTGAAATACTGGCGGCTGGACTCTTCCTATAGGGAAGGTGCATGGCCTGGCTCCTCCATTGCTAGGCCATGACCCAATTTCCCAAATAAAGGGTCTGGCTCTCGTCCTCACTTCTGTTTCTGACCTGGGCAAGGCAGGGATCATGGTAAAGGGGCAAGGTTGGTAAACCCCAGGGTAGGAGTTCCATCATTTTGACTCTTCTTCCTTGCAAGCAAGAGTGGTCATTATGAGGGTGGATGATACAGCATTCTGACACATCCTGATCCCAGACCTGGCTAGGGTAGTTCCCAGAGGATAGGGACAGACCTCATCCTGTCTCCTTCCTTCGCCTGGGCAAGGGTGGGTCCCATGGGGTTGGGGCGAGGCTGGGATCTCCAGCAAACAGGCTCTGCTTACAAGGTGCTGGCTGGACCTGAGGGGAAGGGACGGGCATCACCTGGCTCCTCCTCCTTGCCTGTTACAGGGGTAGGGCCTCATCTCTTCCCCCAGAACACTGGGCAGGGCAGTCTCATAGGAGGGCAAGGGAAAGGTAGAACCTCATCTTGACTTATCCTCCTTTCCTGGGTGGGGAAATCCCAGGGGAGGGGTGAGGCCTGATCAGGACTCGTCCTCCATGCTGAAGCTGCTGCGGCGGCTGCTGGCCTTAGAGACAGCGGGAGACACGGAAGAGAGCAGGGGGTCAGAGGCAGCCCGCAGTGGGGACAGGGCGTCCCCTGGCAGTCCCCCCAACACCCCCTCCTCCTCCTCCATCAGAATGTCCGTCAGTCCCAGATGGAAGGGGTCCCCTAGATCCCCCAGATGGTCGCTGGGAAAGTGCAGGTCCAGAAGGGCATCTGAAGGTGGCACTGGGGGCTGCTGATGGGGAGCACCCTGGTCAGGGCCCCCCCCTGTATGAAACGTTGCTACGCCTGGCCTGCCCTCCTCCTCAACGTCCAGCTGCTCTGGCTTGAGGTTGTCAGAGGCTGAAGTTGTGGCCAGGGGGACCAGCCCTGGGGTGGGAGGGACCGGCAGACCATGGATCTGGGCCTGCAGTTCGAGCTCCTGCAAAAAGTATGGGGTAGGTGTGGGATAAGATGGAGTTCAGAGCCCCTCAGAGGCAGAGGAATGTAACAGTTAGGACGAAAGGTTTTCTGGGTTCACATTCAGCCTCTACCACTAACTAGTTGCATAACTTTAGGCAAGATGCTTAAAGCTTTTGAGTTCCAGAGGCCCAATCTGTAAAATGGATATAACAATGGTCCCTGTCTCATAGGGATAATGTGACGATTAACTTAGTAAGTGGAGATAAGGTCTTGTCACAGTGCATGGCACAAGATAAACGCAATGCACACTAGCCAATATTCATTATTATTCTTTTTAATAATGTTATGATTACTACTTATCACCATTATGATGATGGGAGTTGGGAAGCCCCGGGATCCCCCATTTATGCCACAAGGGGAAATTCTGGTCTGTTCTTCCTCTGCCTCTGCCTTCAGAAAGCCCCCCTCACCCCTGCCACCACCTCCTCCTTCCAGACCTGAATTCGGAGCTGCAGGCTGCGGTTGGCTTGCTCCAGAGATCGCTGCCGGCTCTCCAGGTCTTTGGAGCGCTGCTGCTCCTTCTGCAACTTGCGAATATAATCCACAGAGGCTTTGAGGATGGTGCCCTTGTTCCAGCGCATCTCCCTATGTGGTCAAGGGGGAGGAAAAAATGGAGTCTCTCAGGATCTGGGGGTGTTGTGCCAGGTAGATGGAGTACCCCACCCCATGCCTAGATCCTGAGGTAGGGCTACATCAAGGGTATGGAATGCTTACCTGCCTGGAACCTTCCAAACCAGGAAGCCCTTTCTGACCTGACTCTTTACTACTTACTCCTCTCACCTCTAACTCTGATTCATCTCACTATGGCAACACTGGCTTCTCAATGCTCCCAAGACACGGAAAGCCATTTCCACTTTGGGGTTATCAGCCCAGCTATACCCTCGCCTTGAACACTCTTCCCCTGGAACACATAGCTCCTGCCTCCTCTCCTTAGGCTGTTTATTCCAATGTTGCTTTATCCACTGAGGCCTGTTCTGTTCCCCACCCTCTCCTCACCCCAAATTGTAACCCTCCCCAATCCAATGTTCCCTCATCATATTCCTTTTTTAAAAACTTGACTCATTTTTAAAGAGAGAGAAAGAGAGGGAGAAAGGGAGAGAAACATCAATGTGTGAGAGAAACGCTGATCTGTTGCCTCTCACATGCCCCCAACTGGGGACCTGGCCCACAACCCAGGCATGTGCCTTGACTGGGAATCAAACCAGCAACCTATTGGTTTGCAGGCTGGTGCCCAATCCCCAGGGCCATACCAGCCAGGGCTCCTTTTTTTTTTTTTTTCTTATTTTAGAGAAAGAAGAACAGAGGAGGAAAGAGAGGGGGAGAAATATTGATGTGAGAGAGAAACATTGAGCGGCTGCCTTCCATACATGTTCTAACCAGGGATCAAACCCGCAACCCAGGCATGTGCCCTGACCAGTGAATCAAACCAGTGACCTTTCAGTTTGTGGGACAATGCCCAACCAACTGAGCCACACTGGCCAGGGCTCTTCCTCCCATTATAATTGCAGGGATTTTACTTATGTATCTTATTTTCGGTCTGCCTGCCCCCACTAAAACATCAGTTTCATAAGGTCAGGGATTTTTGTCTGTTTCATTCCCTCTGGTTGCCTCAGGGCCTAGCACAGTACCTGGCACAAAGCAGAAGCTCGTTGTTTCCTGAACAAATAAAGGAAGCACAAAATAAACAGAAAATGAAGTGCCTATGTCGTACAGTGACTTGATGAGGCACATGGACCATAATGTCATGAACCTAAAATTTTAGGTGGGGATACGGTGAGGTGGAATAACCCTGGTTCAGGGTGAGGAAAGCTGGGTGGGAAAGGGCCAGAGGAGCAGAACCACTGGGTGCTTCCCACCCAGGATAGGCACCCGCTGGAAATGATTCTAGGAGATTGTGGCCTCCACCCCACCTTCTGCCAGCCTGGGGCTCCCAGCCAAGACTCACGGGTCACTGGACTTGGGGATAAGGGTGCCCAGCTCCTTGATCCTGTCGTTAATGTTGAATCGCCTGCGACGTTCAACTTTGGAGAAAGGGGAGATAAAAGAGTGGAAAAGAATCGTCAATAGGCCAAGGAGGGAAGAGGAGAAATTGGGACATTGGGAAACTGTGGCAGGGAACGGCCCCCCAAGGCAGGAGGGGGCAGAGAGTGAGGAAGGGCTGCAGAGAATGCCGGCAAGGGCACGTGCTCTCACTCACTTAGGTTGTGATTGTCCTTCTTCTGCCGTTCCTTCAAAAGGGCCTTGGCCTCTGTTTCTGGAAGAGAGTGAAAATAGTCAGGTCCTTCTGGACAAGATGGAGGGCAGCATGTGCTGCTGAGGTAGGCTCTGATGGGCACAGGCAGAGGAAGTGACTTTTGAAAAAATGCCACTCTTGTGGGGGAGGGGGGTAGAGGTAGAAGAGGGCATAAGAGGGATACATGGAAATGGAAAAAATATAATAAAAGTAAATAAATTTTTTAAATGCTTTTTGTTATTTTTCAAGAAGCCACGGTGACAGACCATTTGTTAAACCCAAGACAAGAGTCAGTAGGGTGAGAGCAGGACCATGGGCCATGTGGACAAAGATGGCAAAGAGTCCTTGTTTCTGTCTGCTTAAATCCCTTTTCCCAAAACCAGGCCCACCCCCAGACCTGGTGGACATGGGGCTAACCCTGGCCCTTACCGGAGATCTCTCGTTTGATGTTGGGCAGCTCAGCTGGGCAGGAGTTGCTGACAGTGATGGTAGATGTGGCCACACCCTGACTACTGTACACATCAAGCAGATTCCCTGACACAGGCAGCTGGGGGCAGGCACGGCAGAGAAAGGATGGTTGGCAACAGACCACAAGCTTGGCCTCATCTCAGAACCAGGCTCCCTATCCTCCACACATCCCCAAAGACAGGCCCTCTAGTGCAAGGAGAGGCTGACCCGTGCAGGAACCCTTCCTCCTCCTTTAAGGGAAATTCACATAGTAACTGAATAAAGGAGGACAGGCTAAAGTGGATCTATCCTGCTTTGCTGGGGACAGAGTCCGCCCAGCCTGTTCATCATTCCCCTGCAGCCCCTCAAATCCCTCCGTGAGCTCTGAGGCCCCTCTCCCAAATTCTGGAGCTAACTTGGAGAAGAAATGCTGCAAAACCACCCTGTCAAGGTCTTTGTGGGCTCTGCTACAACATTTCAGTCCATTAGCAACACCCCTGTCCCCCATCCCAGCACAACATTCCAATTCGGCATTCCTGGAACACTCCAACCCAATCTTTTCAGACCTTGGGAAATGGTCATGGCAATGTTCTATCCGAAATCTGGCCTTATGGAGAGTTCCAGCCCAATCTCAAGTCTTTGGCTGTAACTGCGCTGCACCACCTTACATACATGGTCTCCAGCTGCCATGCACCAAGGTCCTAACTCTAGTATGTTCTTGCATTTTCTGGTCTCCCAGGATTCCTTGTTCAACTACACAACTAGCGCTGCTTTTATGTTTGTCTAGATTGCTTTCTCCTGTTTTCATTTTCCTGAAGATACTCTAGGACAATATACTAATCTGGAAATAATTAGTTCCATCTCTTGATGAGATTTCATCTCTTAAAACTCCCCCCACCAATATGCTGGATCCATCTAATATGAGGCCCCAATGTCTAGCCATGTCCAAATCAATAAAAACTTCTGATAAACTAGTGTCATTTTTATATATGCTTCTATCCTCTTGATAAGTTGGAAAGAAACAAAACTTACAGCCATTTGGAATGCCCCAAAGCAAATTATGGGACTCGTGGGAAGTTACCCAATTGTTACAATTTATTGGTACATCCCTTACTCTGGAAAGTTTTTTCCACTCTTTACAGGGCCTCAGCCTCCTTGGCACAGTTCACTGCAAGAGACATGGTACATAGAATCACTTCAAGGTCCAACCGTACCATGTTTTGAGACTTCTAGTGTGTTCTAATCTCTTGGTACATTAAAAATGCTAAGAGTCCATCTCCTGGTCTCTTCCACAGTGAGGCTCGAGCACCTTGCTATACCTTAGTATCTCTGTGAAGTCCCCATCCTGTATGTACCAAAATCTACAAGGTCTACCTTTCCATGCAATCCAACACAAGGCCCCAGGACACTTCTATTCCCTGTTATCATCACACAGTCTCCCTCTCTATTTTAATACAACCAAAGTGACAGTCTCTTATACACACAGTCAGTCCTGGTGCAGTCTCAGCAACACAGGGATGTACTAATTGTGAGAACAACTTTGCCATCCTGGGACCTTACTGTGCTGGGGAGCTGTAGCCCTGCAGTGCCTCCAGGTAGATAGCTGAGCATCTCATCATTGTAACTGGACTCCAGGCTGATGATCTCATCAATGACATCATCAATCTGGGGAAAGAAGTAAATATGAAAAAGGGTTAAAAGAAGTTGGAGGGTGGCCCTGGCTGGTGTGGCTCCATGGATTGAGTGCCGGCCTGCGAACTGAAGGATGGCTGGTTCGATTCCCAGTCAGGGCACATGCTTGGGTTGTGGGCCACATCCCCAGTGCGGGGGGGGGGGGGGTGCACGAGAAGCAACCACACATTGATGTTTCTCTTCCTCTCTAAAAATAAATAAAATCTTAAAAAAAAAAGTTGGAGGGTGGAGCATAGAAAGGTTGCCTGCAGCCACATACCTCCTTCTCTGAGCTGGACCCGATGGTGAGCAGTGCCATAGGACTGTTGGGGGCGCTGCCTGTGGGGCCAGTAGCATGGGTGGCCTCAGGGGCAGGGAGCGGCTGGGCACTAGCAGCCCCCGGTGGTGGGGTGAGGGCCTGGGAAGCCAGCTTGGGCCCAAGTGTGGTGGACAGGTACTGTTTCACCTGCTGCCTGCGCGCCTGCTGCAGGTGGTAGCGTGTTGGGTTCTCCAGATGAGTCTGCACCTGTGGAATAAGGGGAAGGAGGGACAGGAGGGGACAAGGTAGAACAGGGCTCAGAAGGGTGACTCTGGGAATACTAGGCCCAGAATCTGAGAACCCCAAAATACTGGTAAGTCTCTCCCTGGACCCAAATTCTCTTTCTTGGAAATCTCTCACAGCCCCTAGCATCCACCCACAGAGGGTAGAATACCTCAGTTTCTGCAGCTCCCTCTGTCATAGTCCCCAAGACTCCACCCCTGTCTCTGTCACCACCTAACACACCCAGGAACTACATATTGCTTTCCAAGACATCCCACTAGCCAAAGAACTCCTAAGGCATCACACATACATGAAGCTTTTCCTACAAAGCCACTGCACAGACCCTAGGGCCCTTGTGGGGCACTTACAACCCTTCATAGTCCACCGAGACATCCTACAGCCCCCAAGAGCCCCTCACAATTCCACAAGAACATCTCAGAAACCCTAAACCAAATGGGACACTAGCACAACCTACTTTCAACAGTACCTAAAGACTTTCCTTAGAGCCCCAGGACGTCACTTAAAAGCCACCAGGACCACTTCCCAGTCATCAGGAGCCCCTCCCAGGGCCTCTGGACCTTACCTTGAGCACCTCCCTGGGCACCTGAGCAGGGGGAGGACGGCCCAATGTGTGGCCCCCAGCAGAAACACCAACCACAGAGATGGCAGGAGAGGCAGGTGCAGGGCTGGGGAAGGGAGAGGCTGCAGCCTGTTCCCGACGCTCACGCCTCTCCTGCTCCTGGGCCTGGGCCCGCATTAGCTGCTGCCGCAGCAAGACCCGCGATGAAGATGAAGATGACATGGCAGGGGTCCGGGAACCCACTGCAGAAGATGATGTAGACAGTGTAGCTGGGGTGGCTGGGGTGGCCTGCAGTGATATTGGGAGGCTGTGGAATGAGAAATATGGGGCCACAGGTAAACTAAAAGTCTAGTCCCAAACCTAAGGAGTCACAGGGTGATGAAGTAATCACAGGAACCAGGCCTGGTAGCAACCCTCAGAGGTCAGTCTGGTGGGGGAATTTTAGCCCTCAGTCCTTATGGTGAAGCCTGGATTTGGGTCTGTTCATACATTGAGCAGAGATGCCACTGCTTGGCTCTAGCAGAGGGCCTTTATCCTATTTAAAGGAGAGTGGAAGGAAGCAGAATTGAGGCTGTGGCAGTAGACGTGGATACAGAGGGCTGTTATGCTCAATTTGGGGCTGGAGATGCTCCCTCAGCTCCTGGAGGGTTGGCACCAGGCTACAGCGTAATAGCAGGCCCTTCTTCCTCCCCTGCCTGGGCCTCTAGTCCCAGGACTAGTCAGTCTTGAAAATCTCAGAAATTTCACAATCCTCTCTTCCTGCCCCTCTTCCAGGTCCCCTCCCCTCTCTTAGAGCCGAGGCCCATGACTCAGCACATTTAGACTTCCCCAGCTTGGGGAAAGAAGGGACTCGCAGGGGGTTCCTCAAGGGCCTGGGGTGGGTGAGTTTGTTGAGTGGGGGAGGGGTGAGCAGGGGTTGTGGGTATGGCTCCGCCTACCTGGGCAAAGAGCTACAGCAGGCCATGCCCTGCTTTTGGGCTCTCCAGGGACGCTGCAGGCCGTATTAGTGAATGAATGAGTGTACAGGTGGGGTTGGGGGAGGCAGCTGAGGTCTAGATGGAGATACTATAATCCTAGTTTGGCTACCCACTTTCATGTGCATGCTTTTTCTGGCCCCTTATTTTACTATCTGAAAAATAAAAGCTTGTGGAGAGAATGGATTGGGCTGGCACTGAGGGCCTCTACCCACCAAGGAGTGGAGGGGCCTGAGGAATAGGGAAGGGAGTTGGAGGGGAATCAGAGGAGACATACCTTGAGCGTACTGGTAAGGGCTGGCTTTTGAGTTCGTAAAAACTGTCAGGATCAAGGACGTTTTCTAACTCAATGTCAGCAACAATCCCGGATTCCGGAAGCAAAGAGTTCAGGCTGAGGGTGAGGTAGGGGTGGCTGTTATTGTAGGAAGACCTCTGCCCCTCCGAGAAAGAGAGAGAGAGAGAGAGAGAGAGAGAGAGAGAGAGAGAGAGAGAGAGAGAGAGAGAGAGAGAGGAGGGAAACAATTATCTCTAATATTCAGCCACTCCACTGGTTACCACCACCATTAATTCCCAAGTCTTCTCTCCTCCCCCACCCTCTCTCTATTCTCTTTTGCTGTGTTACCCATAGTCCCTTAAGATTCAAAATAATAAGAGTGCCTGGATCCCAACACCTTGCTCTAACACTCACGTGTAACCACAACCTGGGTGTGAGGAAAATGGAAATGAAGAATTTAGGAATGACAGATTCATTTTGCAAGCTTCCTGACTTTGCATTTAGAGTTCTCCCACCCCCACACCCCCTACTGTTTTCCTGGCAGCTGAATGTGAGCCCACGTTTGTCCACACACATGCAGCACGGTGGCAGCATCCCCTCGGTATAGCAGTCCATTGTAGCACAAACTGAAGCATCACAAAGAGAACTAGGGTCAAAGATTCACTTTATGGAAGGATCCACCACTTTGCAAATGAGTTTCCCCACCCCAGTCAGAGTTCATGGGATGCCAACACATACACAAATACAAAACGGGAATATCAAAGGCAACCCTCAGTTCAACAATCTGGATTTACACGAGGAAGAATTCGGGTGGAAGATTCACTTTATGCAAGCTTTCTTTTCTTGGCCAGATGAGCCTGCCCACAGCTCTCCTGGTTTTTTTGGATAGATCAAAATGCACATGCTTCCAATATCAACACCCACTGACACACAAAAAGCAGCCATGTACACCCCTCGCTTTCAACTATTCCCACTACTGTAATGATCTAGGTTGTTATAAAGGCATTAGAAGATGGTGAATCTATATACAAAAAGGCTCCTGCTCAGCCCTCGATGCTGGGAGCAAGACCCTAGTGTGCGGGGGACATCGACATGCACACAGATGGATATGCATCCTTGAATTTAGTCAAATATTTAGAATCCTGAGACTGTGAGTGATTACACTTGACAAAGATTCTCTCCCCTCCCAAAGGCTCTGTCTTCCCTCCTTTCCTCATCCTCAGACAGGGCCCTAAAACCACCCAGGAAGTTGGGAAGAGGAAGCCAAATGATCCCCTGAGCTCAGCACAATTCCAAGCAGAAAGTAGGCAAAGCCCCTTCCCATGCTTACACATCCATTGCACAGAATTTAGGAGAAAAGGGGGCTGGGCTTCCAAGGCCACAGACGGCAGTGAGGATTGAGATCAGATAGGACCCACCCAGATAGGGATGGGGCAATTGGTGTTCATTCCAGCTCTGGGGACAGATTCAAGATTATCCCCAACGTCTGAGAAACAAACTAGGAGGATGTGATAAAAACAACAGTGTGTGTGTGTGTGTGTGTGTGTGTGTGTAGGGGGTGAGAAGGGCTTGGCTTGCTGAGAGATTAGGGCAGGTGGCAACAGTAACAAGACGGTGCTCTGGGTTCCCAAATAAAGTCTGAGGCCTTCTCTGAGCTAAGATGAAGCACCAACTCCATCACCTCTGCCTAGCAGTCGCCCATTTAAACCCCAATCGTCAAGTGGGGGTGAGAGTGTGGGGGTGCTTTTCACTATTTCACTATCCCTGATAAGATTGAGCTAGGTGGACAGGGATGGGTGAAGAGATTATTCTTGTCAAGTCTTGATTAATATTGCTTCTCTTGCTTACACACACTTGCAAGGCTGGTCCCACGGAGCATATCTGAGATACCCCCAAATCCCTCCAGATTCATATTATCCCCCAAAACAGCCTCCAGCAACCAGCTACTGGAAATCACCAAGCTCCCAATATAGCACCTCTGTCCTGCAAAAACCCTTCTCTGACACAGAAAAAGTCCCTTACAATCAGTGCCTCATTTAGAGAGTGCCCCCTCAACTTCATCCCCCTCATGTCTGACTCAAGGACCCCAAATTACGCTTCTAATTAGAGTCTCAGTGCCCTAAATTCAACTACCCTAGACCAGTTTCTGGACACAACGGAATACATCCCTTTAGACCCAGTGAAGACACCCCCACACCCAAACTGAACCAGGCCTCCCTTAATGCACTTCCACGACAGCTTTAACTCCCAGTCCATGTAGGCCACCGCCGGATTCCTTAGGTGCTCCCCCAAGACGGGTGCCCCGACGTCCTCCAAGCCCAGGCCGAAACCCTCTAATCCCAGCCCGGGCCCCCCGCTGCACCCAAATCAGGATCCTGCGCGCCCCAGTCAAGACTACTGACCCCAAGCGGCCCCGCACCTGAGCAGCTGGGCTGAGTCCGCCGGACTGCGCTCCTCCAACAACACGAACACCGCTCGAGGACCCTCCGTGCTAGCCTCTACACTGTCCCGGGCTGGCTCGGCTGCATGAGACATGACGCCCGGCCCCGAGCGAGCCCTGCTTGGCCGGTCGGGCTTCAGCCCGACCCCCCCTAACAAAATAAGAGTACCCCTCCCCCTGCTCGCCACCGCCTCCTCCGCTAAGCCAAGGAGCGAGCTCTGCGCGGGCGGGCAGCGTCGGGAAGATGGGATGGGCTGTGAGTCATCCTCCGCCCCGAACGGACCTACACCCCCCTCCTCCGCCCAGAACCTAACCCTGGACGACCGCCCTCCTCCCGCTCGTCCCCTTCCTCCTCCTCCCAGAGCTGGGGAAACTCCACAGGAAGTGACCGCATGTAGGATAGACTGCTCGCCGGGCTCCGCCCTCTAAGTGAGGCGGCCAATCGTCAAGGGCTTATTCAAGACTCGGCTCTAAACCACGCCACCGACGCGGAGGGAAAACTAGATTAGCTAGCCCTCATTGAGGGAAGGGGGTACCTAGGCCACGGTCAGAGATGAAGGCGAATCATTGAGAGGTAATTTAATGAAGCCACGCCTCCTCGTCACAAAGTACCCCTCTGCGAGACTTTAAACCGCTCCTTGGGTCCTCTGCGCCTGCGCGCCGACAGCCAGTCGGCGCTCGGGTTTTCAGGCCACGTTTCTATCTACGGAACCGGGCCCCTTTTCGGCCAATATTCCTAGACTGCGCTCCACCCTCAATCTAAGTAGGTATATTTTCCTGGAGATGTGCACCAGAAACCCTGCCCTTTCTGTACCCACAGTCCAGCCACGTAACCCGTCTTCCTGGGAGCGCTCCTCTTACTCTACGTCATCTGGAGCGGTTGTTTTACTAGGTCATTGTGCTACACAGTAGGTGCTTAATAAATCCTTGACAGATGAATGAATGAGTAGGAGGATGGAAATGAGATCTGATCCTTTAGGTCAATAACTTCTGGAATCATAAAGACCAGGGTTTGGATATGGGTAAGGGACTTCACCACTCTGAGCCTCAGCTTTCCTGACCTGTTAAATGGGGGGTCACAGTAACTGGCAGGCAGAATTGTCATAAGGATTCGAGATAATTTATGAAAAGGTTGTTTGGCATACAATAGGACCTCCAAAATTAATTTAATAGTGCACGATTCAACAAACATTTGTTGAGCTCCTCTGTGTGCTAGATACATGCAAGCCAGCTTGCACAGTGTGTTTCCACCCATACTTTCAAGGGCCCGGTCAGCTCACAGAACACCTGGATCTACAATCTTCCTTTCCTCCTTTCCAATATCCCAACACCCTGCACATCAGTTGGACGTCTAGGAACCTCACTGAGCTCCTATTTGTCTTGCATCTTTTTGTACTGACACTCTTATTTCCCAAGTTGGCTTGATAAACATGTGCATCCCTAACACACTCACACAAAGCCATTATCCACATGATAAGCACAATTCTCCTACAAATTAATCTTTGAAAAATCAATACATTACTAATAAAAATTCTAAAATGGAACTTGTAGACCTGATGTTAAAACTCCTATAACTCCTTAAATATGTGAGTATGTCTAGCTTTATACAGTATGTCTTCTTTATAAAAGAAGAAAGAGGAAGGTCTTGCTAAATTCAAAATACATTACAAAGCTCTAGTAATTAAAACATTGTGACATGGGAGTAGGACTAGAAAAATAGATCAATGGCACAGAAAAAATAAGAATCCAAAAATTGACCTAGGTATTTGTGTGAATCAGTAAATGATAAAAATGATATTTCAAGTCAGGGAGAGAGATGGACTATTTACTAAAATGGTTTGGAGAGAAATATACTCTTGGGGGGCAGGATTAGATTCCTAATTTACACAATTCAGAAAAATGAATTCCAAAATGGCTAAAGATCTGAACATTTTTTTTTAAATCAGAACAAAATGCTTTTGGAGAACACATTTAAGACTTTGGCAAAAAGAAGTCCTTCTTAAACAAGAAACAAGCAAAGCATATAAAGAAAAGTAAAAATAGCTCCAGCTAGTGTGGGTCAGTGGATTGAGTTTGGGCTTGTAAACCAAAGGGTTGCTGGTTCAATTCCCATTTGGGGCACATGCCTGGGTTTTGGGCCAGGCCCCCACTAGGGGGTGCACAGGAGGCAACCCACATTGTTGTTTCTCTCCCACTCTTTCTCCTTCCCTTCCTCTCTTTAAAAATAAAATAAAATATTTTTTAAAATAAAAATAAGCACCATTAATTTGTCTGTTATTTTTGTACTTTGTCTGCCTTGATTCGTTTTGATCCCCACAACATACCTCTGAGGAAGATTATGTTTATTATCCTAATCTATAGATCAGGAAACCAAGGTACAACAAGTTTTCCACTTGCCTTAGGTCACCCCAGTTTATAAAACCTGGGATTGGAACCCAGGCACTCTATACCACCATGCTCTACAATCTTTCCAGTTTGACCACATCAAAATAAAAAGTGATAATCTGATGAAAGATACTACAAAGTTAAAAGACTTGCAGCAGCGTGAGAGAGAAAATTTACAGCACTAGACCCCCAGGTTAATTATCCTGTAACACATCCCAATCCTACAAACACCAGCTTCACACACACATGCCAAATATTTCCATAAGTGCTTCCCATCACATATCCTACCCAATAAGCCCATTCTCCACCTCTTTCAGCCTCTCTCTTTTAATGTCTTGCTCACAACTTCACAACTTTCCTTAAGTTCGCTCCCCTACCCTCTTCCTCCCTCTCTCATGCAGCTGAGGTTTCACTGAGAGCCAACTACAGGGTGGAGTGAATGGGAGATATGCAGGGAAGAAAAAGGACAGTTGGATGGTGAAGCTGGGGATGTTTAGGGATAGATGACAGTGGAGATTGAGGGTGGCTTGGGGTGAGGTTAGGGTCTACTACAGGACAGTTTGCATGCAACTAAATGATCACATTAAGGTCTTCAAGAGGAATAGGGCTGCTAGAGGACAGTTTAAGAGTGCAGATGGCACCCTAGCTGGTGTGGCTCAGTGGATTGAGTGCGGGCTTGCAAACCAATGGGTCACTGGTTCAATTCCCAGTCAGGGCACATGCCTGGGTTGTGGGCCAGGTCTCCACTAGGGGGTGTGCAAGAGGCAACCACACATTAACATTTCTCTCCTCTTTCTCCTTTCCTTCCACTCTCTCTAAAAATAAATTTCAAAAATCTTTTTTTGTTAAGGCATGCAGATGGGCCCTGGCTGGCATGACTCAGTAGATTGAGCACTGGCCTGCAGACTAAAAGGTTGTTGGTTCAGTTCCCAGTCAGGGCACATGCCTGGGTTGCAGGCCAGATCCCCAGTTGGGGGCATGCGAGAGGCAACCACACATTGATGTTTCTCTCCCTCTCTTTCTTATGTGCAGATGGTAGATATTGGAGGGTAAATTGAGAATAAAGTTGGGAGTTGGAAGATGGTTTGGGGTGCATTTGGAAGAACCTCGGGAAGAAAGTGAATGTTTAAAAACAGAGTTTGGTCTTCTGATGGAGTAGAGCTGTTAACTGTCACAGGATGGTGTGGTAGGCTAACTAATGGCTTCCCCAAAGATGTCCATGTCCAAATCCCTTGAACCTATGAATATCACCTTATATGCAAAAAAAAAAAGGATTACAGATGTAATTAAATAAAGGGTTTTGAGATGGGGAGACTATCCTGGATTATCTGAATGGAACCTCATTGTAATCACAAATTTCTTTATAAAGAGGGAGGCAAAAACAGATTAGACAGAGAAGGAGAAGGCTATGTGACCATTGAAACAGAGACTGTAGCGATGCAAACACAAGCCAAGGAATGCTGACAGCCACCAAAAGAGAAGGAGGCAACAGAGTCTACCCTAGAGCCCCTGGAGGGAGCATGGCCCTGCTGGCAACTTGATTTTGATCTTCTGGCTCCCAGAACTGTGAGAGGATAAATTTCATATGACTTACACTATCAAGTTTGTGGTAATTTTTTACAGCAACCACAAGTGGCTTTGAGGTAGGTTTGGGGGTTGTTGGAGGCACTTAAGGGTTATGCTTGGGGGTTATGAGGGCAATTTAAGGGTATAATAGGGGCCATTGGAAAGTGTTTGGGTACAGTTGGAGCCATCAAAGGGAAGATTGAGGTGGGTTTGGGAAGTTGTTGGAAGGTGGTTTAGAGGTATATTTGGGAGATTGGAAAGGTAAATGGGAGATGCTTACAGAGAGCATTGGGGTCTATTATAGGGCAGCTTAGGGCAGTGATTTTCAACCAGTATGCCACAAGAGGCACACTGGTGTGTTGCAAGAATCCTTAAAACATGCAATACCTGACTATTTAGTCCGGGACACTTACATCTTTTCCCTCAGATTGTCAAATTTTAAAAAATGACAACAGCAAACACAATAGCTGTCCAGTGTGAATGAATAAAAGTTATACCTATTTTTTGTCAGATTGGCAAATATATATAATATATATTTTGATGTGCCACAGAATTTTATTTTATTTTTATTTAATTTTTAAAAATTTATTGATTTGAGAGACATCAGTTTGTAGTTCTACTCATTTATACATTCATTGGTTGATTCATTGGTTGCTTCTTGTATGTGCCCTAACCAGGGATCAAACCCGTAACCTGGCATATCAGGACGATGCTCTAACCAACTGAGCTACCTGGCCAGGGCCTTGCCACAGAATTTTTTTAAGATTGTATTTATTTATTTTTACAGAGAGGGGAAGGGAAGGAGAAAGACAGGGATAGAAACATCAATGTGTGGCTTCCTCTCATGTGCCCCGCACTGGGGGTCTGGCCCACAACCCAGGCATGTGCCCCCACTGGAAATTGAACCAGCATCCCCTCAGTTTGCAGGCTGGCACTCAATCCACTGAGCCACCCCAGCCAGGGAAAAATTTTACTAATTAGTTTATGTGTGCCGTGAGATGAAAAAGGTTGAAAATCGCTGGTTTAGGGTATAGTTGGGAGTTCTTGGAGGGTGGTTAGGGTGGTATGATTGGGAAAAATTCAAAGATGTTTTGTGGTGTAATAGCATGTAATTTAAGATAAGGTTGGGTATAGTGGTCATTAAACAGTGGTTTGGAGATACAGTTTGGGGCCAAAGGAAGTTAGTTAAGGGTTATTTAGAGGTAGATTTGGGGGTTCTTGAAAGGGGCATTTTAGGGGCAAGGTTTGTAATTGTTGGAGAGTAGTTTGGGGTTAGGGTTGGGAATCATTGAAAGGGAACAAGGGAACCTTGGGGATATGCGTGGGAGTTAGAGAACAGTTTGAGGGTAGAGTGGGGCCTGTTGGAAGGAGATTTGGAGGTAAAGATGAAACTTTGGAAGGGTAGTTCAG